CCAGTCATCTTCCTAAAAGAAAGTGAATAGAAAACCGGGCCCTTATAGCCTTGAAAGGGGACACTAAGTAATTCTTCGCAAGCGCATTTTGGCTTGGTGGGTTCATTTTGCTGGCTCCCATCGAACACTGCTGACCCCTCACCCAGATACCTGCAAACTCCTATCATGCTATACAACAGCACGAAAAACTTGACAAGAGTTCACAGATCTTACCAAAAAGACCCGTGTAATTTAACAGGCACTAGCAAGAGGGGCTAAAAAGTAAAATGCCCCTCACAAGTTGAACAACGCCTTCTTTGTGCGAAACTTGAACTTCTCAAATGAGGGGATTAGGAGACATTGTAGATGAAACTGGTTCACCTATCCAGAAAGCTCCTACCCCTTTGAACTTGGGTAAGAGCCTTTTCTTCATGGGGCAATCTTAGTTTGGAAAAGACCTTTTAATGCCTCAAGGTTGTCAGCGCTGAAAACCACTTCGAAAGGCATACGTCACCCAATCACAAGCCACAATTACCTTTTCTGCTTTCGAGAGAAGAGTGCTATAGAGCTTTCCAATATTCTGCACATACACCGATAATATATGACCGGACATAACAGAGGTACGTGCACGCAGCATCGATTCCAATACGGACGAAATATTTCGAACATGCCTATCACAGAAATCGTTGACAAAATGCTATTTGAATAGAAATACATAGGAAAAACTTGAAGGCGAAACGAAGAGCCTGAGGTACTTACTGGCTATACTCTCCGCAGATCCAGGCGGCTGCCAGTAGGACTTCACAGATATTACTTCGCTGTTGAGCACTACCGGCCAATAAGATGTGAGCGTTTTCGACCTACAACAAAGACAGGCAATGAGGAATTATGAAGGAAACAAAAGCGCCGAAACTCCGCCCACCAATAAAGCCATTTGAGATACGGAGAAATGTCGTATGGATTCCACACGCACAGTGACATCTTGGATCTGAAAAATGTGTATGAAACACAAAAACAGATTGAAAACCGCCACATCGGCCACTCTCACTAAGTCTGATTTTTTTTGGACTTTTGCATTTTTTGGGTTTTCGGAACCTACCAACAAGGTGGTAGTACAGTAAAATTCGGTCGGAAAGTCGCCCTTGGGGGTTAGCTTGACCCCCTAGCAAGAATGTCGCTC